CTGCTCAAGGTTAGCGCCTTACCACTTGAGCTACAGCTCCACTTCTTCCTTTCTGTTGGAAACGAAGTATCACAGTGGGGCTGGGAAGGTGGCTCAGTGGTAAGAGTGCTTGCCTTGCATGTGTCCCTGGGTTCGACTCCTCAATACCACAGAAGCAGAAAAAGCTGGAAGTGGTGCTGTGGCTCAAGTGGTAGAGCACTAGCCTTGAGGTGAAGAGCTCAGGGACAATGCTCAGGCCCAGAGTGACAAAAAATTTTTAAAAAGTATCACAGATTTTACTTCCTGGGTTGGCTTTGAACTGTGATCCTCAGAGCTCATCCTCCTGAATACCTAGAATGACAGGCATGAGCCACTTCCTCCTAGATTGCCTTGCCACGCCCCCACACTTGTCGTGGGCTTGAACTCTGGGCCTGGTCTGGCTTTGAACCATGATCCTGAGATCTCAGCCTCCTGAGTAGCTAGGATTACAGGCGTGAGCCACCAGCGCCCGGCCCTCCTATACTTTTAAGATAACAGATCAAATCCCATTTTTCAGGTGTTCATGGGGCTGCCATTAGAAAACCAGAAGTGGTGCTGTGGCTCAAGCAGTAGAGTGCTCGCCTTGACCTGAAGAACATTTGTATTAAAGGAAACTGTGTACTAGTTTTTGTAATATGTTATCTAGAAACATAGAGCAATGGGAGTCCTGTCTCTGCTGACCATTTCTCAAACCCTTTTCTAATACCATGTTACCTCTGCAGAGTTTTGAGCAGTCTGCTTCACCTTGAAGCTGGGATTCCCTCTAAAGGTCTGCTATGGCAGTAGGTCTTCCCACCTTATCCCTTCTCCACTCTGGCATTTGGTTAAGCCACAGTGCTACACAAATTTGCCCATTTAGCAGGAACTTTGGAGTCTTATGAAGCTGGGTTTGAACTGAAAAGTATGGCATTCATTAGCTTTGTGACCTTATTCTCTATCTCTAGTGAGGACAACAAGGTTTGTCTTGAAATTTTAAGGCTGAAATATATTCAAAGTGCTCCTCACATGGCAAGTATTAAATGAATGATGGTTGTTTTCAGTTGAATTTATTCACACAACTTTTTTTCTCTTTAGAGAACCCGAGCCCAGCACATCGTACCCTGTACTATATCTCAGTTGCTTTCTGCCACTCTCACAGATGAAGTATTCAAAATTGGGAATGTTGAAATTTCACAGGTATGTAAAAGAGTTTATAGAAGAACCATTTAAGCTGGTCACCAGTGGCTCATACCTATAATCTTAGCTACTCAAGAGGCTGAGATCTGAGGATCATAATTCAGAGCCAGCCTAGGCAGGAAAGTCTGTGAGACTTTTTATCTCCAATTAATCACAGAAAAAGTCTGAAGTGATGCTGTGGCTCAAGTGATAGAGTGCTAGCCTTGAACAAAAGAGCTCAAGTACAGTGCCAAGGCCCAGAGTTCAAGTCCCAGGACTGGCAAAAAAACGAAGGGACACTTACTCAACAGAAGAATGAAATGAGACTTCATTTTATTTTGATTGATTTACTTTATTGTTATTGTAAAGGTGATATACAGAAGGATTACAATTACTTGAGTCAGGTATAATGAGTACAGTTCCTTTTTTTTTTTTTTGTCGGTCTTGGGGCTTGAACTCTGGGCTTGGGCGCTGTCCTTGTGCTCTTCAGGTCAAGGCAAGCACTCTACCGCTTGAGCCACAGCACCACTTCTGGTTTTCTAACGGTTTATTGGAGATAAGAGTCTCAAGAACTTTCCTGCCTGGGCTGGCTTTGAACCTCGATCCTCAGATCTCGGCCTCCTGAGTAGCTAGGATTACAGGCGGGGAGCCACCAGCGCCCAGCTCAGTTCCTTTTGTTGGTGGTGGTGGTTATGTGTCCTGAACTCAGGGCCTGGGTGCTGTCCCTCAGCTCTTCAGCTCAAGGCTAGCACTCTACCACTTGAGCCACAGCACCACTTCCTCTTTTCTGGTGGTTAATTGGATATGAGTCTCACAGACTTTCCTGCTTAGGCTGGCTTTGAACTGAGATCCTCAGATCTCAGGTTCCTGAGTAGCTAGGATTACAGGCATGAGCCACTGGTGCCTGGCTTACAGTTCCTTTCTGACAGTGAATTCTGTTCCCTCATTCTCAGTCCCTCCCATGAGTTGTACAGTTCGTTTTCATCTATGTCCAGTGAGTTCCACTGCTGCATCTTTTTTAACCCTTTTTTTTCCTCAGTTTGTGCCTTCTCTCCACTCTCCCTGAGATATACACTCGAATACACCATGCATAAAATAGAATCATCAAATAATTAAAATAAAAAGAGACATCTCTTGTTCCCATATCTTGGAGTTTGTTCACATACATACACACATATATGAAGAGCCATGTAGACATTGCTGCTTTTTGTTTTCTCCTAATAGAAACTCACTGTATTTAGAATATCTGGAATCCTGTATAATTTATCACATCCCAGTGTCTTTCAGATTTAATTTCTACATATCAAGAGAACATGCACCATTTGTTGCTGAGCATTGCTTATACCACTTAACATGATTTGTTCTAGTTCTGTCCATTTCCAGGCAGATGACATTATTTCTAATGGTGATGTAAAATTTCATTGTATAAAGGTACCACATTTTTTATATCCACTCATCTGTTCTGGGGCATTTGGGCTGTTTCTGTATCTTGGCTATTGTGAATAGTGGGGCAGTAAACTTGGATGTACAGGTGTCCTCATCGTATCCTGGCTCATGATATTCAGGGTAGATGCCCAAGAGTGGTATGGCTGCGATATAGGGAAGGTCTATGTTTCTTTTTTCTTTTTCTTTTTGGTCCTGGGGCTTGAACTTTGGGCCTGGATGCTGTCCCTGAGCTCTTAAGCTAAAGGAGAGCACTCTACCACTTAAGCCACAGGACTACTTCTGGTTTTCTGGTGGTTAATTGGAAATGAGTCTCAAGGACTTTCCAGCTTGGGCTGGCTTTGAGCCATGATTCTCAGATTTTAGCCTCCCGAGTAGCTAGGATTACAGGCGTGAGCCACTGGCTAGGATTACAGGCGTGAGCCACTGGCGCCTAGGGTGCCCAGCTATGTTTCATTTTTTTGAGGAATCTCTGGCCTGCTATCTATAGTGGTTTTGCTAGTTTATATTCCCTCCCACCAACAGTTCAGTAGGGCTCTTTTTTTTTCCCCCCACATCCCTGCTAACATTTGTTCAAATTCACAATGTTGGCTAATATAACTGGATTGAGATGTAATCTCAGAGTTACTTTGATTTGCATTTCCTTTATGGCCAGGGATGATGAGTATTTCTGCTTCTGTTTCTTTGCCATTCTTATCTCTTCTTCTGAGAAGTTTATTCTTAGCTTCCTTGCCAATTTAGTGATATTAGATTTGAGGGGGGAAAGTAGGGAGTTAGTTTCTTGGGTTCCTTGTATATATTGGATATTAGGCCTTTGTCTGTAAAGATTTTCTTTTCTTTTTTTTTTGGTTGGTCGTGGGGCTTGAACTCTGGGCCTGGGCGCTGTCCCTGTGCTCTTCAGCTCAAGGCTAGCGCTCTACCACTTGAGCCACAGCACCACTTCTGGTTTTCTAGAGGTTTATTGGAGATAAGAGTCTCACAGACTTTCCTGCCCGGGCTGGCTTTGAACTGTGATCCTCAGATCTCAGCCTCCTGAGTAGCTAGGATTACAGGCATGAGATACCAGTGCCCGGCTTCTAAAAGATTTTCTACCAGCCTTTATAGTTTTGGCTGTCTTTCTAGTTTAGAAAGTATGTCCTTAGCTGTGCTGAAACTTTATTTTGATGTCCTACTTGTGCCCCTTGGACTCTTCAAGAACTTTTTCCTATACCTATAAGTTCTAATGTTTTTTCTACTCTTGCAGTAATTTCAGAGTTTGAGGTCTGATGTTGAGTTCTTTGATCCACTTTGAATTAATATTAGTGCATGGTGGAGGCTTCATTTTAAAGTGCATAAATATTACTTTGGTTTCCTGGAAAACTAACTTTTAATTTTTTTTTCTATCCGTAACCTAGGTCACTATTGTGGGAATAATCAGACATGCAGAAAAGGCTCCAACCAATATTGTTTACAAAGTAGATGACATGACTGCTTCACCGATGGATGTTCGTCAGTGGGTTGACACAGATGTAAGTGACTCTGGATTAGGGTGGAATTACTTTTGGACTTTGTAGATGATGGAATCTTCTAATCTTAACCTTTAAACTTTTCTTTTTGGTGCTAGTTCTGGAACTCAGGGTCTGGGCACTGTCCCTGAATTCTTTTCCTCAAGACTAGTTAGTATGCTACAACTTGAGCCATAGCTCTACTTCTGCCCTTTTTTGTGGCTAATTGGAGATAAGAGTCTCTTGGGGGGCTGGGAAGGTGGCTCAGTGGTAGAGTGCTCGCTTTGCATGCCTGAGGCCCTGGGTTCGATTCCTCAGCACCACATAAGCAAAAAGAAAAAAGCCGGAAGTGGCGCTGTGGCTCAAGTGGTAGAGCGCTAGCCTTGAGCTGAAGAGCTGAGGGACAGCGCCCAGGCCCAAAGTTCAAGCCCCACGACCGGACCCAAAAAAATAAACAACAACAACAAGAGTGTCTCTTGGATTTTTTCGCCAGAGCTGGCTTTGAACCACAATCCTCATATCTCAGCCTCTGAGTAGCTAGAATTATAAGCATGAGCCAGCACTGCCCAGCTTACTTTTACTTTTATTTATTTAGTTTTTATTTTTTGCCAGTCCTAGGGCTTGAATTCAGGTCCTGGGCACTGTCCCTGAGTTGTTTTTTTTTTTTCCTTGTCACTTGTGGGGCTCTGTGCCTGGACGCTGTCCCTGAGCTCTTTAGCTCAAGGTCTAGTGTTCTACTATTTCAGTCGCAGGCCACTTCTGGTTTTCTGGTGTTTAACTGGAGATAAAAGTCTCATGGAAGCTGGGCGCTGGTGGCTCACGCCTGTAATCCTAGCTACTCAGGAGCCTGAGATCTGATGATTGCCATTCAAAGCCAGCCTGGGCAAGAAAGTCCGTGAGACTCTTATCTCCAATAAACTACCCCAAAACTGGCAGTGTGCTATGGCTCAAGCAGTAGAGCGTTGGCCTTGAGCTGAAGAGCGCAAGGCAGCAACTAAGTCCAGAGTTCAAGCCCCACGACTGACCAAAAAAAAAGTTTCATGGACTTTCCTGCCCCTGCTAGCTTTGAACCCCAATCCTTACGTCTCAACCTTAGTGGCTAGGATTACAGGCATGAACTGCCGGCATCCATCCTGAGCTTCTTTTGCTCAAGGCTTGTACTCTACCACTTAAGCCACAGTACCACTTCTAGCTTTTTCTGCTTATGTGGTACTGAGGAATTGAACCCAGAGCATCATACATGCAAGGCAAGCACTCTGCCACTAAGCCACATTCCCAGCCCCCAGTTTATTTTTAAACTTTTATTATGTCTTTAATTCTTTGCATAAATGTTTATAAATTTTACAAAATACTATAAAACTGAAAGGAAATAGAATTTAACTTCTACAAGAATAATTTTTATTTTGTTACCACTGTATCTCTGATATCTAGAACAGTGACAGAATCTTTGTGTGTGTGTGTTTGCCAGTACTGGAGTTTGAACTCAAGAGTATCCCACTCTTACTATTTGCTGGTTAACTAGAGATAAGAGTCTGAAGCAGGATACTGCCAGTGGCCCACGCCTATAATCCTAGCTACTCAAGAGGCTGAGATCTGAGGATTGCAGTTCAAGCCAGCCTGGGCAAGAAACTGAGAGACTCTCATCTTCAATAAAGCACTAGAAAACCAGAAGTGGTGCTGTGGCTCAAGCAGTAGAGTGCTAGCCTTAAGCTGAAGAGTGCAGGGACAGCACCCAAGCCCAGAGTTCAAGCCCCAGAACCAACAAAATAGAGAGATAAGAGTCCTCCAGATTTGTCTGTTTGTGTTGGCTTCAAACATGAACTCCAGAGTAACTAGGATTATAAGTATGAGTCCAAGCACCTAAACAGGAGCTTGCCTTTTTGCCCTGTCCAGCTTGGACTTTTTTTAATTCTTCTTAAAAAGGTGATGTACATAACAGCCTGGGCTCTTGTTCTGATATTTGTACCATTTACATATCTAAGGTGGAGTTCACATTAGCTTTTTGCCTACTCTAGCATTACATATTTATATGATTTGACACTAATTTTATTTTATTTTTATTTTATTGTTGGTTGTGGGGCTTGAACTCTGGGCTTGAGCACCGTCCCTCAGCTCTTCAGCTCAAGGCTAGCGCTCTACCACTTGAGCTACAGCGCCATTTTTGGTTCTCTGGTGGTTTATTAGAGATAAAGAGTTTCACAGACTTTCTTGCACAGGCTGGCTTTGAACCTTGATCCTCAGATCTCAGCCTCCTGAGTAGCGAGGATTACAGGCATGAGCCACAGGTGCCCTGCTTGACACTCATTTACTATTCTAAACTACACTGGGATTAATGTCATTATTTGGGGGGGGGGTTCTGGGGCTTGAACTTTGGGCTAGTTGGTCTCCCTGAGCTTTTGTGCTCAAGGCTCATGCTCTACTACTTGAGTCACAGCTCTATACTTCCAGCTTTTTGGAGATTAATTGGAGATAAGGGGCTCATGGAATTTGAACTAGGCTGATTTTGAACCTCCATCCTCATATTTCAGCCTCCTGAGTAGTTAGGATTATAGGCATGAGCCACCTGCGCCCAGTTTGAATGTAATTTTTTTTTTTTTGCCAGTTGTGGGGCTTGACCAATTAATTAATAAAAGCTGGAAAAAATATTTGCCTTAGAACACTGAAGGAAATTGTTAGGGTTTTTGTTTTTTGTTTGTTTTTTGCCTGGCTGGTGCCTGGAAGCAGCCCAGGCACCAGTAACTCATGCCTGTAATCCTAACTACTCAGATCTGAAGATCACAGTTCAAAGCCAGCCCAGGCAGAAAAGTCTATGAGACTCTTATCTCCAATAAACTACTCAGAAAAAACCAGAAGTGGGGCTGTGGCTCAAGTGATACATTAGCCATGAGCACAAAGAGGTTCAGGGACAGCACTCAGGCCCTGAGTTCAAGCTCCAGGACCAGCAAACAAACAAAAATAGAAGCTAGGCACTGATGGCTTAACCTCTATAATCCTACCTACAAGAGATGGAGACCTGAAGATGGAGGTTCAAAGCAAGCCTGGTTCAAATCCATGAGACCCTTATTTCCAGTTAATTTCCAAAAACCTGGAGTAGAGCTGTTGCTCAAATGGTAGAGCACAGCCTTGAGTACAACTCAGGGACAGCACCCAGGCCCTGAGTTCAAGCCCCAAGGACTTATTGCATCTTTGAGTACACATACATACACACTGTGGATTCTAAAAGTCAGGACAAACTAGATAATGCCACATGAGGGTTTAGTGCGTCTACTGTATATCTTTCTCTTTCTATAATTTAGAAATTTGAAGAGACTCTCACCAGCATCACTAAAACCTTAAGTGTATGTATGTGTTTATCTTTTAGGATGCCAGCAGTGAAAACACTGTGGTTCCTCCAGAAACATACGTGAAAGTGGCTGGCCACCTCAGATCTTTTCAGGTAAAGTCAGAAGAAAAATGGCAGCTTAAAGAGATTTCTGGATTTATGTGTAGGTTTTACTTAGCTGTAGGACTCCATGTTTGATGGGATGTTATTGTCATTCTCTTAAGAGGAAATAACTAGTTTTTGCCTTAATATAGAAATACCAGAGTGCTAAAGAGTAACATCCATTAGATATAAAATGGAAAACACTGGTCAGGCGTTGGTAGCTAACGCCTATAATCCTAGCTACTCCGGAGACTGAGATCTGAGGATCACGGTTCAAAGCCAACCCAGACAGGAAAGTCCATGAGACTCTCATCTCCAATAACCACCAGAAAACAGGAAGTGATTTTGTGGCTCAAGTGGTAGTGCTTGCCTTGAGCTGAAGAGCTGAGGGACAGAAGCCAAGCCCAAAGTTCAAGCTCCATGAGAATGGAAAACATTGTAACTTTGGAAAAATAACATCTATGAATTAGTTTTGTTTGTCCCTTCATTGTAGATTATATTTTAATTACTCCAGTGTTTTTTTGTTTTGTTTTGTTTTGTCGGTTGTGGGGCTTATACTCTGGGCTTGGGTGCTATCCCTGCACCTTGAGCTCTGCAGCTCAAGGCAAGTGCTATACCACAACGCCACTTCCAGTTTCCTGGCAGTTAATTGGAGGTAAGTCTCAGATTTTTCCAGCCTGGGCTGGCTTTGAACCACGATCCTCATATCTCAGCTAGGATTATATGCATGGGCCACTGGCACCCAGCTCCAGTGTTAGTTTTTAACTATATTAACGCATTAGCAAATACTATAGCCAAGTAAAGAGTGTTAGCTTTAGCCTGCTTATCCTTTATATTTTCCTGTTTATTTTAATAGAACAAAAAGAGCCTTGTGGCATTTAAGATCATGCCCTTGGAGGACATGAATGAGTTCACCACACATATTCTTGAAGTGGTCAATGCACACATGATGCTGACCAAGTCCAACAGCCAGGTAAGCAGCTTCCCTGACCTCCCCCCGCATGGCTGCTTTTGTGTTCTGCCTTTGATTTCTTTAACATTTTAAAGGGTAAACCACAAGAAGTTCACAATTTCTCCATGAGCCTAGCTGTTTGTTTGTTTGCCAGTCCTTGAGGTTGAACTCAAGGGCCTGGGAGTTGTCCCTGAGTTTCTTTGGTTCAAGCCTAGTGTTTACCACTGGACCTATAGTTCTACTTCCAGTTTTTGTTTTTGTCAGTCATGGGCCTTAAACTCTGGGTCTGAGTGCTGTCCCTTAGCTTCTTTGACTCAAGCCTAGCACTCTAGCACTAGAGCCATGGTGCCACTTCCGGCTTTTTCTGAGTAGTTTATTAGAGACAAGAATCTCATGGACTTTCCTGCCCAGGCTGTCTTTGAACTGCAATCCTCAGATCACACCCTTCGGAGTAGCTAGGATTATAGGTGTAAGCTAGTGCCTGGCTGTGAGACCCAACTAACCACCAGAAGTGGTGCTGTGGCTCGAAGTGGTAGAGTGCTAGCCTTGAGCAAAAGAACTCAGGGACAGAGCCCAGGCTCAAAATTGGAGTCCCAGGACTGCCAAAAGAAAAATAGAAAAAACACATGTTGGGCCCCAGTGGCTAATGCCTGTAATCCTAAATACTCAAGAGGCTGAGATTGGAGGGTCTCAGATTGAAGACAGCCAGGGCAGGAAAGTCCATGAGATTCTTGTTTCCAATTAATAATCCCTTCCCACCTCCAAAAAAAAGGGCAGGGGGAGTGAAATTGGTCAATTGGTAGAGTGCTAGCTTTGAGTACAAAAGCCAAGGACTGTTTTCAGGCCTTGAGTACAAGCTCCAATGTGATGCACAAAAAATTAAATGGGGGGGAAGGGAGGCAGGGAGATGGGAGGGCATGGATGGTAAGGGGAAACAAAGGAGGAGGCAATAATGCTTAATAAGAAATGTTCTCATTACCTTGCTCATGTAATTGTAACCCCTCTGTACGGTATTTTCACAATAAAAAAATTAATAAAGAAAATACAGATTTGGACTTCTAGTTGTGTGTGTTGAATATCTAGGTGTTGTATAATGTTTTCACAGGTAGAGGGAGCCACTTGAAAGCTTTTAAATATAGGAGTGGCATAATTATAAGGACTTAACCACTTGAAGCAATGAGGGGAGGCTTGATTGGCATTCAAGAGCTGAGGTAGAGGAGATACCAGTTAGGAGACTAGAATGAGAAAGATAACTGGACTCATGGGCTGTGGGGATTAGTAGATTTTGGGAGGGAATGGAGACATGACAGATGACTCAGGTCTACAAAGCTGGGCTGGAGCCTGGATTTACTAATTAAGATGAACTGTAACACAGAAGCAGGTTTGAAGAGGAAACTAGTCATTATGCATATATTTATTTTTAATATGTGCTTCAAATGATTCTTTTACCTCCCTCTGATAGTCTCATTATATAATAGCTTCCTCACGTAAGCAATTGTTATTGGAACACACTTAAATTCTTAGCTGCTTATTAACAATTTATTTAAAACAGCAAAAAAGTTTAACTTGGTGAATTTTCTAATGTTACAAACTTATTTTTCAATTCAGCCCATGGCAGGAAGACCCTCTCTCAGCAACCCAGGAATGAGCGATGCAGGGAGCTTCAGTGGGAATAGCTTCATGCCCTCCAATGGCCTCACTGTGGTTCAGAATCAGGTAAATTGCCTGTGTGACTCCAGAAATGCAAAACACAGGCCTGAAGTTCTCTTACTTTAATGATCTAAGGCTAACCTAGGCCTGGATCCTGGTTTTTTGTTTGTTTGTTTATAAAGGTAAACTAATTAAAATCTTTCTAATCTGAATTTCAGGTGCTGAGCTTGATTAAGGCTTGCCCAAGACCTGAAGGATTGAACTTTCAGGATCTCCGGAACCAGCTCCAGCATATGCCTATAGCCACTATTAAGTGAGTGAGTGCTTTCTGTGAGCCATTTCTATCTTTTAACCTCTTCATAGTTTCTACTAACAAAAGTAAGTTTATAAAGTAAAGCTGACTATGGGGGGTCCTGTGACTCATATCTACTAGAAGGGTGAGGATTATTACAGTTTAAAGCCAGCCTGAGCAGGAAAGTCTGTGAAACTATCTCCAACTAACCTCAAAAAGCCAGAGGTAGAGCTGTGGCTCAAGTGGTAGAGCACTAGCCTCGAGCAAAAAACAACTCGGACAGTGCCCAAACTGAATTCAAGTCCCAAGCCCAGTACAAAAGAAAAGAAAAGCCAGGGAAGAACACAAGGCCCTAAATGCAAGCCCCAGTACCAGCATTTAAAAAACAAAAACAAGAAGTTAGTTTGGGCTGGGAATGTGGCTTAGTGGTAGAGTGCTTGCCTAACATGCATGAAGCCCTGGGTTCGATTCCTCAGTACCACTTAAACAGAAAAAGATGGATGTGGTGCTGTGGCTCAAGTGGTAGAATGCTAGCCTTGAGCAAAAGGAGTTTAGGGACGCCCAGGTCCTGAGTTCAAACCCTGGGACTAGCTGGCAAAAAAAAGAAGTAGTAGTTAGCTGGCCACTGGTGATTCACATCTGTAATCCTAGCTTGAGATCAGAGGATCTTGGTTCAAAGCCAGCCCAGGTGGGAAAGTCTGGCTCTCTATTAATTACCAAAAAAAGCCTGAAGTGGAGCTGATTCAAATAATAGAGCACTTAGCCTTGAGCAAAAAGAAGCTCAAGGACAATACCCAGACCCTGAGTTCAAATCCCAAAACCAGTGCATGCGTGTAAACATACACATAAGCTGTCCAACTTCAACCCATAATGGTAAGATACAGAATTGCTATCATGTAGTAGGTTCTTTATAAGTTTGGGCTATTACTAAACATGTTACTGGCATGACCCAAAGGACGTCAACGATTGATGGCAACATACTCTTTGTGGAAAGCCTTTTTTTTTTTTTTTTGGTGGGGCTTGAACTCTAGGCCTGGGTACTGTCCCTGAGCTTCTTTTGCTCAAGGCTAGCACTCTACCACTTGAGCCACAGAGCCATTTCTGGTGCTTAATTGGGGAGATGAGTCTCATAGACTTGCCTGCTCTAGCTGGCTTTTTTTTTTGCGGGGGGGGGGGCTGTTGTGGGGCTTGAACTCTGGGCTTGGGCACTGTCCCTGCGCTCTTTAGCTCAAGGCAAGCGCTCTATTGCTTGAGCCACAGCACCACTTGTGGTTTTTAGTGGTGTTTGAAGATAAGAGTTTCGTGTAGAACTTTCGTGTGCTAGGAGATTTCATAGGCAATCTGGACTGTAGCTTTAGATTCTTGTTTCACTTTGCTTATTTAAATGAGGCCCTATGTTCTTGAATTGGGAGAGGAATTCAAGCCAGCCCTAGTAGCCATTATCAATTTTGCACTTTTATTAGTGCCTTCTATGAAGAAATGACTGAATTTTCTGAGCTAGGATAAAAACAGCATCCAGAAGGCAATTTCCTTCCCTTACTAGTTTGAAATGACCCTTCTTTTATTCATTCTTTCTAGGCAAGCTGTGGATTTTCTTAGCAACGAGGGACATATTTATTCTACTGTGGATGATGATCACTTTAAGTCCACAGATGCAGAATAACTGGATCTCCTTGAGTATCTGAGAGATTGCCAGCTGGACCTGGTTTTCACAATCTGTTTGCTCCAGCTGTACGTGTTTGGCCAGGTGATTTCTAGGAAGGAGGTTTTGTGCTGATGGCTTCCTGCTCTCCTGTTTTTGTTTTTGTTGTTTAGAAACTGAAAGGAAAATGAGCACTTGACAGGGAGGTAAACCAAGGTGGGGTTCGTTAAAGGAGTTCCAAATAAGCTTACAGGATAAAAAAGATTTATAAGAGGAATGCTACAGAGACGATAGGGCAATATTAATGTCAGGGTTTATTCTTAAAACATATTCCTATTGAGGACATGAGCCTGATCAGGACCGGCCTGTGGGCAGAGAGTCTACTGAGGGACCCACTACCTTCTGCCCTATTTTTGTTACTCTGGTTCTGTAACATTACTTTTCAAAATTGCACTTTCCTTCCTTTCTTGCCTTCCATGCTGCTGTAAAGGAGGTTTGTGTGAACATGAGGTTCTTGATTGGGGTGGCCTCAAGGGGCAGAGGAAAGGAAGAAATGTTACTATGTTTTGTATTATTAAAAAAAAAAAAAGTACATCCAAATGTTTAATGAACTGTTCTGTTATTGCAATAGCTTGTGAGTGAAATATTTTCCCTTTTTCTGAGCTGATGCAATTGCCGCTTTGTCATCTAAGACAGTGTAGCATAATTATAATAAAATTTGGATTTGAATCCTGGCTTCTACTTTTTAATTAGGATCTTGATTTTAAGTCATCTGTGGAGCCTACATTTCTACATTTATAGAGAAAAATTTTTTTCCTCTGAGATTTGTGGTAAAGATTAAAATGGCTAAAGGTATGTAGCTATCGTTCAGTGGTAGAACACTGGATTGGCATATGTTAGGAGTTCAGTCCCTATCATTACTGAGTAAATGAGTGACTGAAACGTGGACCTTACTGTTGACTTTTTTATGGTGTGTGATCATGTAACTAAATTGAGTACCATTTGATCTCAGGTTGAAATTTTTTTTGGGAGGGGGGCGGTCAGTCATGGGGCTTTGAACTCTGGGCCTGGGCCCTACTTGAGCTGCAGCGCCACTTCCAGTTTTCTGGTGGTTAACTGGAGATAAGAGTCTCACAGGCTTTCCTGCCCACGCTGGCTTTGAACCTTGATCCTCAAATCTCAGTCTCCTGAGTAGCTAGGATTATGAGCATAAGCCACCGGCTCCCAGCTTAGGTGAGACTTTCTTTGCCAGTCCTGGAGCTTGTTTTGTTGTTGCTGGTGGTGGTCGTGGGCCTGAACTCTGTGCCTGGGTGCTGTCCCTCAGCTCTTCAGCTCAAGGCTAGTGCTCTACCACTTAAACCACAGCATCACTTCCAGCTTTTTCTGCTTATGTGGTGCTGAGGAATCGAACCCAGGGCCTCATGCATGCAAGGCAAGCACTTTACCACTGAGCCACCTTCCTGGCCCCTGTTTTGTTTGTTTTTTTTTTTAACCAGTCCTGGGGCTTGAACTCAGGGTATAGGCACACTGTCCCAAAGCCTCTCGGATGGTTCTAGCACACAGGCAAAACTAAATGATACTCATACAGAAGCTCAAATGTCATTTTTATTCTGTGGCTTTACAATGAAATAATCTTGGATAATCATTTACAATTTTAATGATATCTTAGCACCATCTGACAACCTGCCAGTTTCCTGCTGCTTTGGGCCTTGCTAAGGATAAACTGGCTCCTTGAGCTCCAACATTAGCTTTTGAGACCTAAACCCCAGAGACTCTGCTCTTGAAGCCAAATAGCCACCATTATTTATGCAAGCCCCATTTCTGTGCTAGAGGTTCCTAAAATGAAGAAACAGTCCTGGTCTCCCATACAGAGCCTGGGATGAAGCAGGATTTAAGGCCAGGGGTGACAGGGCTGTGTGATGAGCATTGAGCCAGCTCCATTGGCCTCAGACTCTTCATCCAGTGAAGTAACAGCTCGTGGGGCTTGTTCTGGATACCAAAGGTCTGAAGCTCAGGGAGTAAAGGGTGACATGCAGGGTTCAAACAAACCAGCCTCCAAGGGCAGGACCCTAGAGTCTGAAGGAAGCTGGAGCAGTATCCATTTCTGTTGCAATCTCACTCTGATTTCTGGGTGACTCTACCCCAGGTGTTTAGAGCAGCAGCTGAGAGGCATGGCTTCTCTGGCACCTAGATGGTTTTCTGAAAGTTCTCAACTAATTCTTCATAGTCGTGGGCATCCACATCTAGAAAAGGGTCCTGGTTGGGCGTGGGCTCTCGCTCAGAAGTACAGTGCTTGCGTGGCATGCTGGAGGCCTTAGGTTTCATCCTTTTCCCTGAAGAAAAAAACATCAGGGGTGGTGAGCCTCTTGGGTGTTGAGCAAATTCCTTCCCTTTTGTGGTTTCCTCGCCTGTGTGGGGAAGTGGGTAACCTAGGTGCTCTAAGGCCTTTGCCAATGCAGAAACCACAATTTTTTTTGTTTTTTTTTTTTTAATTTAATTTTATCTTATTTGTGAACATACTGTACAGAGGGGTTACAATTGCATGGGCAGGATAATGCGTATATTTCTTACCAAGCATTGCAGCCTCCTCCTTTGTTTACCCTTCACATCACTTCCCAGCCTCCCCCCTCCCCCAGAAACCACAATTTTTTCTCTCAACTCCCAGCCATTTAATTGTCATGTGGTATGGGCAGGAGAGTGTGCTGGGACTGAACTTGGTCCACACAGGGCTCTGGAGCCCCTAAGCACAGACCTAGGGTCTTTCCCCTGACCCACCCCTACAGAGGCTTGTCCAACAACTCAAAGGGTCTGGTATGCAGGGCCATCGGAGGCAAAGAGCATCAGAGGGGCAGGGTGGGAAGAGAACAAAGCTACATTGAAGGGACACTTACCTCTGTCCTGTGGCAAGACCTTGGGATTGAGGCTCTTGGAGACCAAGGTATCAATCTTGCTATATAAACTTGATTTGTCCTTGGAAGTGTCTGGCATGGTGTTTGCCTTGAGTCTGCACAGTGCAGGAGTCTGCTGGTTTTCCAAGATTTGAGAAGGTTGGGAAGAAAAACAGGAATCACCCAAGTCCCAAGTCAAGGCCACAGAAGCTATGAAATATAATTTCTCACTTCCCTGTGCGTATGTTTTTCAGGATCCTGAGTACTTTTACTACAAGCATGTAAAGTATCTTGCAGAGGAATAGAGTCGGGGGTGGGTGGGGGTGAATATAGGGTTAATGGCTACAGCCAGTGTCCTGGTCATGCTAAGGATAGGGGGTGGGATGAAGGGATAAATCAAGAAAGTAGTCACAGAAGCTCATGCCTGTAGTCCTAGCTATCCAGGAGCTGAGATCTAAGTTACAGTTGGAAGCCAGCCTGGACACAAGTCCATGAGACTTACCTTCAGTTAGCCAGCAAAAAGGCTGAAGTAGAACTGTGGCTCAAGTGGTAGAGTACCAGCCTTGAACAAAAAAGCTAAGGGAAGCCGGGCGCTGGTGGCTCACGCCTGTAATCCTAGCTACTCAGGAGGCTGAGATCTGAGGATCACGGTTCAAAGCCAGCCCGGGCAGGAGAGACTGTGAGACTCCTATCTCCAATAAAAACCACAGAAAACCGGAAGTGGCGCTGTAGCTCAAGTGGTAGAGCGCTCGCCTTGAGCTGAAGAGCTGAGGGACAGCACCCAGGCCCAGAGTTCAAGCCCCCCGACCGACAAAAAAAAAAAAAAAAAAGCTAAGGGACTGTGCCCAGGCTCTGAGTTCAAGTACCAGCACAAGCAAAAAAAGCAGTCACAGGCTGGGTGCTGTGGCTTACACTGTAATCCCAACTATTGAGAAGTAGAGATAGGAGCTGTAGTGCAGCCAGCCTAGACAAGAGTGAGACCCCCCTCCCCATCCCAGCCAACAGCTGGATGTGGTGGAATGTGATACCAACTACTTGGGAGGCATAAAAAGGATCATAAGACCTTATTCGAAAAATAAAGCAAAAGGCTAGTACTATGGCTCAGATGGTAGAGCACCTGCCTACCCGGATTTCAAATCCTAGCATTGCAAAAAAAAAAAAAAAAATCACAACCAGGCACCTGTGGTTCATGCTTGTAGTCCTAGCTACTCAGAAGGCTGAGATCTGAGGGTTGAAGCCAGCCCGGGCAGCAAAGTCTGTGAGATTCTTATCTCCAATAGATTACCAAAAAGCCAGAAGTGGCACTGGCTCAAGTGGTAGAGCACTAGCCTTGAGAAAACAAGCTCAGGCACAGGACTCAGGTTGAGTTTCAAGCCCCAGGATCAGTATACACACACACATTCTTTCTCCCTCTTCCTCTCCCTCCCTCCTCTCTCATATACACACACACATGCAAGTCACAAAGCCTCAGAAAGGAATGCCAGAAGGAAGAGGACTTCTATTCAACTCCCGCCACGTGCTATGTGTGTCTGCTCATGGAATCCTACATGCCCCAGTTCCCCCCCCCCCCAAATTCTAATTTACTAGTCTACTCCGCCATGGAGGGAGGATCAGCTGAGCCAAGTTTGGTCCTAGAACTACAACTATGACCTGTGAGGCCAAAGGCCTTTCTGTGCTCTAGGGAACTCGGTACCACCTCTGGTAACAGCAGGGGATGTGAAGGACCAGGCACCACCCAAGGGTAACAGCAGTGACTGGGCCCAAAGTTACTAGCCTGAAGTCCAGGCTGGGACTGAGGACTCCCAAATCCTGTGCTGTGCTTTCCAGTGCCTCCCTGGCCTGTGTATGCCCCCTCCCCCCCCCACAGGAGCTCCCTGAGAACTCAGGCGCTCAAGACTCTACCATTCCACTACCTGCATATCACTAAACGCAAGTCTCCCTGCTCCCCAAAAGTATGCTTGCTACGCTTCGCAAAGTCGGGTTCCAGCCCTGCCATGTACCTGTGTAACTCAGCCAAACTCCTTGTGGATGCCTTTTTGTTGTTAGTTGTGGGGCTTGAACTTGGCCAGGGCACTCTCCCTGAGTCTTTTGGCTCAAGGTTAGCACTCTACCACTGGGTACCTAAGTTTTTTGTGTGTATGTTTTGTTTGGTTTGTTTTGTTTTTTTGGTTTTGGTTTTGGTTTTGCCAGTCCTGGGGCTTGAACTCAGGGCCTGGGCACTATCCCTGAGCTTTTTTTGCTCAAGGCTAGCACTCTACCACATGAGCCACCACTTCTGGCTTTTTCTGTGTATGTGGTACTGAGGAATTGAACCCAGGGCTTCATTCATTTTAGGCAAGCACTCTACTACTGAGCCACATTCCCAGCCCCCGGTACCTAGTTTTTGTTGTTTTGTGCCAGTCTTGGGGCTTGAACTCAGGGACTAAGAGTTGCCTGAGGGTTTTTTTTGCTCAAGGCTAGCACAGCTCTACTTCTGGCTTTTTGCTGGTTAATTGGAGATCAGAGACTCCTGGATTTGTCTGTGTAGACTGGCTTTGAACCTTGATCCTCAGATTTCAGTCTCTTGTGTAGCAAGTAACATGAGCCGGTCACCAGCCCCCGCTGATGCCTGTGTTTTTAGCTGCAGGAGTATGTGGTGCTCTCCAGTAGGTGGCATAGTGGCTGAGGGGCCGGTCTTGTAGTCAGCGCCCAATAGGAAGCACCAAACCCAAGTCTGCAGAGTGGATGGCCTTATCCAAGCTACCCCATAACAAATGTAAACCGGGACTCCTGCCCCGGCCTGGCTTCGAAGCCATTTTGGCAGCTGTCCAGGAAGGGGGTGGGGGGCATTAACCAGAGACTGAGTTTAGGTGACAAATAATGAGACAGCTCAGGAGTGACTGCAGGATGGCAGAGGGAAAAGCAGGATTACTCATGCTCACATTCAGCCTCCTACCTATGAACCGGGCCATGGGGTAAGTCTCGGGTCTCAGCCATCATTCTCTCTCTCTCTTTTTTTTTTAATCAATCGTGGGTCTTGAACTCGGCCTGGGCGCTGTCCCTGCGCTCTTCAGCTGTTCAAGGCTAGTGCTCTACCACTTGGGCCACAGCGCCACTTCTGGTTTTCTGGTGGTTTATTGGAGATAAGAGTCTCACAGACTTCCCTGCCTGGGCTGGGTTTGAACTGTGATCCTCAGATCTCAGCCTCCTGAGTAGCTAGGATTACAAGTGTGCGCCATCGGTGCCCAGCTTCAGCTGTCATTCTCTCCAGCACATCCACAGCCCACCCAACCTTAGTACCAAGAGGCTCAGGGAGAGTGCCTGGGCCCTGAGTTCAAGCCCCAGGACCAACAACAAAGAAAAGAAAAAGCCAGTGAGACTGTGAAGCCCTGAGTTCAAGCCCCATCACACACGCACGCACACAGAGCCATGCAGGGCCCCACACCTTACCTTTACCATACTCTCTTTGCTGCTTGTTTTTTTCTGCTCGCAGAGGCTCTGTCTTTTGGGGGGCCTGGGCGGTGGGGCTTGGCTCTTACTAGCTGGTAACTTGCGAAGGCTGTAGTAGAAGGCGTCCGTCAGCTCTTCCACGAGCAGAGGCTCAGCCGGCTGGCCGGGCTGCCCCTCGGCCTCCACCACAGTCAGGTCCAGCCACTGTGGAGGGATCTCAAAGCACAGGCCCGGCTGCGCGTCCAGCCCTACCATCATGAAGGACTCTGTGATCTTCTCCTCCAGCCGCAGGGCCCCGAAGGAGACCAGAGGGTCATCCGTTTGCCTGGGGTCCTTGGCTACCACCTTGACCTCACAGGGCAGCGAGAACTGGGCCATGAGGTCGGCGAGGCTGTAGCGCCGGCCATCATTCAGCTCCTCCACGAAGCCCCCAGGGAGGAAGAGCGGCAGCAGAATCTGCTCCTGATCCTCCTCCACCTCTTCATCTGTGCCCGCCTCGTCCTCCGCAGCCTGCTCGCTCAGCCGCTGGCACATCAACATGTCCACGTCCTGGCCCTGCTCCCCAAGCATCTGGACGGACCCCAACACTTCCAGCCGGTCACCCACAGCCAGGGAGGCAATTTCAGCGTTCTCCTCTGCGCCCTCACAGTCTCTTGTAGCCACCACCCGGAGAGGCCGGCCTGGCTGGAAAGCACCCAGGAGGTCGTAGGCCGTGGGGAACTCTCTGGGCCGCCGCCGCAGCTTGCCCTGATAGGCCGCCGATACCATGAAGTGTCTGGGCACCTTCCGGCCCTTGCTGGAGGCCAGGAGCCGCCAGGGTGCTGAGGATGGACCGTAGATGCACAGCCTCTGGCCTTTCCTCAAGGAGCCCACCCACGGGCTGAGGAAGAGGGGGGGGCCCTCGGGAACCTCCAGGATCTCGGTGAGCAGGGGGAAGGGGCCGCCCTGGGCCAGGGCCTCGCTGAGCAGCATGGGTTTGATGAAGTGGATGTGCTGGGAGGAGGCCGTGATGTCTTCCACATCCACCTCCAGGGTGGACGGGATCCTGACGATGGTCCTGCGCACTGTGAGAGCAAAGTCAGTGTAGGGGTGCGGCCTGTGCCACCCCACTGTACACCCTCACCCCAGCTAGAGAGCAGAGAGCAGCCTGCTGGCCTGCTTCCTGTTTCCATCTGTTCTTTCCTACCAATCTTCCATCCTTCCTTCCTTCCTTCCTTCCTTCCTTCCTTCCTTCCTTCCTTCCTTCCTTCCTCTCTCTCTCTCTCTCTCTCTCTCTCTCGCTCTCTCTCTTTCTCTTTCTTCCAGGCCTGGGGCTTGAACTCAGGGCCCAGGCTCTGTCCCTGAGCCTCTCTGTGCTCAAGGCTAGTGCTCTACCACTTGAGCCACAACACCACTTCCAGTTTTTTTCTGTTTCTGTGGCAATGAGGAATTGAACCCAGAGCTTCAAGCATGCTAGGCAAGCATTCTACCATTAAACTATATTCCCAGCCCCAACCTTTGATCTCCAGGCCTGGGCACTTCCTGAGCTTTTTTGCTCAAGGTTAGTGGTCTACCACTTAAGCCACAGCTTTGCGTCTGGCTTTTTGGGGTTAATTGGAGATGAGTTTCATAGACTTTTCTGTCCAGGCTGGCTTTGAACTATGATCCTCAGATTTCGGCCTCCTGAATAGCTAGGATTACAGGTGCCTGGCTCTTTGCTACTTCTGTCAAACAGGTTAACCTTGCTCATGTTCATTCTCTTTCCTCTCCTTCCACACCAAAATCCCACTGGACTAGGCAGCTAGATTCTGTTCCATTGCATACGACCCCCAAAACTATGCCCAGAAGGGGAGATGTCTTCCATCAGAGCAGCTCCCAGGGGTCCCCATCCTGTGCCCACCCCCCCACACCTGCCCAGGCAACTCACTATGCATGATGGCCTGAACTTCATACTGAGGTTTCAGGGTCAAGGAGGGCCAGGGTAGGTTGGGGCAGATCAGCATGCTGTCCTTCAGAGCCGGGTCCTGCAGGATCTGGGGCAGGGTTTGGGGGGCTCCAGACTCTAATTTCCAGAAAGGCCCTTTCTGGGACAGAGGCAGATGCAGGACAACCTGCTGGGGTCCCCATTTGTGGATACAGCGCGCGTAGGGAGTCCCGAGGTGCACCTCCACGGCCTCCAGCGTGAAGAGCTGTTCCTCAAACACCACCTCGGCCTTTGTGACCATGCTGTAGGGTGACATGAAGTAAATGGGCAGCTGCGAGGGGCTCCAACGCGGGACCATCTCCTCCAAGGTCTCGTAGCTCCTGCGGCTGATGACAGGGCTGAAGTGGCCTGGGAGGTAAGTGGAAGGTGGCAGAGTGAGGGCCGGCCAGGCCTTTGCTGCCCGGCTCTGCAGAAAACCCAGCCAGAACCCCCCAACCCTCCACATGCTTCAGGGCTGAGAGATGGGGGCACAGAGTGCATGAAGGGATGGGATTGAGGGACACGGGGACAAGGGACATGTCCCCACAGACACATGGGTGACCTCCATACTGTCCTACTTCCTAATCCTATCTGCCTCTAATTCTGCCTGCTTGTCATCTCTCCTACAACTCCACTCTCCCACGCCCAACATCGACTGCTGCCAGTTAGGGCTCGTGCCTGTAATCCTTGCCACTCAGGAGGCTGAAGTCTGAGGATTGAAGTTTGAAGCCAGCACAGGTATACAATTCCAAGAGATTCTTATCTCCAAATAACCAGCAAAAAGCCAGAAATGGAGCTGTGGCTCAAGTGGTAGAGTGCCAGCCGTGAAAGGAAAAGCTGAGTGAGCGCTAAAGACCCCAAGTACAAGCCCCAGTGACAAATTTAAAAATCTCCTGCCACACCCACCGAGGTAGTGCCATGGTTCTTCTCTGCATACTAGGGCCCCAGGAGCTACTAGTTACCCCTCTGCCCCTTACCTTGTCGGCCAACACTTCCCTACTGTTCTCTTGTCAGGCCATTGGCCATTTTTCTGCCATCGGACTGAGCACCCCACTTCCAGAAGTGATAGTTTCCTTCCTAAACCCCATAACCCCAAATGTTTCAGGGGAAGATCACAAAATCTGGCCAAAGGGGCCTTCTACAAAAGTTCTGCTCTACAGTTAGGTGCCAGTGGTTCATGCCTATAATCCTAGTTACTCAGGAGTCTGATGTCTGAGATTCATGATTCAAAGCCAACCTAGGCAGGAAAATCTGTGAGACTCTTTTCTCCAATGAACCAGTAGAAAACCAAAAATAGCACTGTGGCGCAAATGGTAGCACCTAGACCCAGAGTTCAAGCCCCAGGACTGGAAAAAAAAGAAAAATGAAAGTCCTGGTCTAGGGCTCTGGGGGTGTAGCTCAGTGAGAGATCTTCCTCCTATCATGTGAGAAGCCCTGGGCTTCATCTCCACCCAACATTCCCAGTAAAAACTGAAAATCACAGTGCTGAATTCTTCAAGTATGTCCATGACGCAGGTGTGGTTGTATACATCTATAATTCCAGATACTTGGGAGGCAGAGATCAGAAAGATCATGATTCATTGGGGCTGGGAAGGTGGCTCAGTGGTAGAGCCCTTGCCTTGCATGCCTGAGGCCCTGGGTTCGATTCCCCAGCACCACATAAGCAAAAAGAAAAAAGTCCGAAGTGGCGCTGTGGCTCAAGTGATAGAGCGCTAGCCTTGAGCTGAAGAGCTGAGGGACAGCGCCCAGGCCCAGAGTTCAAGCCCCACGACTGGACCAAAAAAAAAAGATCATGATTCAAGACCAGCCTGGAGAGGAAGTAAGTGAGATTTCCCCTATGTCAACAAATTAGCCAAGCATGGTGGAGAATGTATGTAATCCCACCTACATAGGAGGTAGAAGAGGATTAAAGCTCTGAGTTCAGAAGTGGTGCTGTAGCTCAAGTGGTAGAGCGCTTGCCTTGAGCTGAAGAGCCCAGGCTCAGAGTTCAAGCCCCACGACCGACCAAAATAAAAAAAAAGCTCTGAGTTCAAACCCCAGTATTGGCATAAAAACAAACAAATGAATAAATAAAGTAAAATACCTCATAAATTTCCAAACCTCACTGGCTCCTTAAAAGAGTGTATACCATCAGTGCACGTTGGGCCTCCACCAACTGTCCCTCACCTGGAAGCCACACCCACGCACCAGCACGCCTGCGCTGCAGGTCCTGTGTTCCTTATGCATATCAACTCCTTGAATGCCTCCATCAGAACCCATGCCTGTTACAGAGGAGGAAGCGGAGCCACAGCTAGCTCCCGGGAGAGCTGGGGTTCCCAGCCAGCCTACCAGCTTCCAAGCCCAGCCACACACACCTCTTGTGATCATGAGCTCCTTGAGTTTCCTCTTTACCTTTCATTTCTTTTCTTTTTTGGGTCAGTTGTGGTTCTTGAACTCTGGGTCTGGGTGCTGTCCCTCAGCTCTTCAGCTCAAGGCTAGCACTCTACCACTTGAGCCACAGCACCACTTCCAGCTTTTTCTGCTTATGTGGCACTGAGGAATCAAACCCAGGGCCTCATGCATGCGAGACAAGCACTCTACCACTGAGCCACCTTCCCAGACCCTCTTTACCTTCCTTCTCCTCCTCTTCCTCCTTCTTTCTTCTCCCTTCTCCCTCTACACCCCCACCCCCTCTGCTGGTATCAGTGTTTTGAACTCAGACCTCCTGCCTGTTCAGCATGCTTGTTCACTGGGCTGGCACTGTACCACCTGAGCCATGTCTCCACTAAGCTTTTTCCTATTTATTTTGCAGATGAAGTCTCATGGACTTTTCTGCCCAGTCTGGCCTCAAACTGCAAATCCTCTGGACCTCAGCCTCCTGAGTAGGTAGGACTACAGGTGTGACCCACTGTGCCCAACAAGGTTTCATTTACACTAGATTCCCACATACCATTCCCTGGAACTGAGGTCTTTTCCTCCTGCTTAGAAGCTGCCGCCTCCTGGAAGTCTTCCCGACCTGATGATCAGGTTACTCCACCCAGAGCCTAAAGCAGACACTACTTGGGCCTTTGCCCTCCTCTCGCTGCTACTCCAGAAGCTGCTGGCTCATCATGAGCTCCACAGCGCCTCTTAGGACACACGGGTGCAGACTGGTGTTTGATGAATGACCACGTGAGCAACCACAGAGCCTGGCACCTGGACCAACTGCTGGAGCAGAGGCTGGCGTGGCTGAAGATGACGGGGGAGGGCGTGGTCTTACAGGCTCAGGCTGTCATTGGACCACTCTAAAGACATCCCCAACCTGGAGGCTACAGAGCAGTATGGGTGATGCCTGTGAGCAGGGGTAGATGCTGGTGCTGGAGAGGCCACCCCAGGGTGGCCTGCAGGGTACTGGGCCCATGGGGGGTACAGATGTCCACCTTACCTGGAAAGGTGGGATCGAGTTCCATGGTCTGACCCGTGGCCGGGTTCTCACAGATCACCTTCTGGAGGCAAACCTGGGTAACCTTGATCAGGTCCCCCGTGGACAGGCAGCATTCGCTTCCCGAGATCTCGTAGATGGAGCCTATAGAGACATGGACGCAGTTTCTCCTTTTGGCAAGGGCCAAGCGCTAAGTGCTCTGCTTCCCACAAGCTCCGCTTGCTCACAGCTTGGTGCACGCTGTCTTCCTGCCCAGTGCCCTGCCTGTAGGGCCTCTTGGGAGCCTGGGACTCAATTCATCTGCCGCTTCCATTCCTTTCTCTGCCTCTCTCCCATCTCTGCCTCCTGAATGGAACTCAAAGCCCCACTCAGCCACCCAGGGCTGCGTGCGTGGCACGGCTCAACTCCTCCATCACAGGGCTCAGAGAGGGTCAGTGGCTCCCTGCTGGCCACACAGGCCCAGCGGGTACCAGGCCCTCCACACTCCTTGCGTTGTGCTGCTTTACAAGGAAGCGCAGGAGGGAAAAGAGGGTCCCAGCAGGGGGAGGTCCGGTGTTTCTGGGCACCACCCCAAGCTCAGCAGCCACTGTCCTCACTCAAAGAGCTGAAGCTGCTCGCAGAACATGGAAGGTACACAGGAAAGATTGCTCACCAGGGCTGGGAGGGTGGCTGAGTGGTAGAGTGCTTGCCTAGCATGCATGAAGCCCTGGGTTCCATTTCTCAGTACCACATATACAGAAAAAGCCGAAGTGGCACTGTGGCTCAATTGTAGAGTGCTAGCCTTGAGCAAAAGAAGCTCAGGGACAGCGCCCATGCCCAGAGTTCAAGTCCCAGGACTGGCAAGGGAAAAAAAAAAAGATCATTCACCACAGAGGGGGCACATGATGGAGGACCTTGGGTCCTTGGGTCACCTGACCCCACCCCAGGAAGAGTCTCAGTAGGGCTTCTCCTACCAACCCTGAGACACTGATGGAAACCTCCTCTGAGCCCAGGAGAATGCACACAGGCTCATAAAGCTACTGGTGCTGGGATTTGAACTCAGGCCTAGGAGCTGCTCCTTAGCTTTTTCTGCTCAAGGCTGGTGCTCTACCACTTGAGCCACAATACCAATTCTGGCTTCTTGGTGGTAAATTGGAAATAAAAGTTTCATGGACTTTGGGGCTGGGAAGGTGGCTCCGTGGTAGTGTTTGCCTTGCATGCATGAGGCCCTGGGTTCAATTCCTCAGCACCACATAAGCAGAAAAAGCTGGAAGTGGCACTGTGGCTCAAGTGGTAGAGCACTAGCCTTGAGCTGAAGAGCTGAGGGACAGTGCCCAGGCCCAGAGTTCAGGCCCCATGACCAACCAAAAAAAAAAAAAAAGAGTTTCATGGATTTTTCTTTCTGAGTTGGCTTCAAACTATAATCCTCAGGTCTCAGCCTTCTGAGTAGCTAGGATTACAAGCTTGAGACACTAATGCCCAGCTTATAAAGCACAGTTTTATCAACAAGGTCAGGATGTGGACCTGTGGAGGGGATGACATATATATATATGTGTGTAATTTTTTTTGGGGGGGGGTCCGGTCATGGGGCCTGAACTCTGGGCCTGGGTGCTGTCCCTCAGCTTTTCAGCTCAAGGCTAGCGCTCTACCACTTGAGCCACAACGCCACTTCCGGCTTTATTTTCCCCCTGCTCATGTGGTGCTGAGGAATGGAACCCAGGGCCTCATGCATGCAAGGCAAGCACTCTACCACTGAGCCACCTTGCCAGCCCCTATATGTGTGTATATACATACATACATACATATATATATTCGTATATATATATATATATATCTATAAACATACACACACACACACACACACACACACACACACACAGAGAAAGCTGATTTCCCAGCTGTATGATGGAGTTGAGCGCTACATGCACTCGAGGCCTGGGAGGCTGTGTGGGGCTGTTCCATTCCATTCAGGAGGCAGAGACGGGAGTTACTGGGCTGGGTGTATCCTAGGCTTGGAGGAGGCTGGGCTGCAATATATGCAAATTATATATGTATATATATGTGTGTGTGTGTGTGGAACTTTATATCCTGGGCCCCTGGGCCAAGTGCCGTCACGCATCCTTGACTTTATGCCTTGTGACTGCTCTGGAACAGTTTCTGTTTCTTGAAAATGCTACTTTGCATTTTTTCTTTCCTAAAAATGATACAGCCTCAGAGAGTTCAGTTAGGTGTAAGGCCAGGCCCTGGTGGCTCACGCCTGTAATCCTAGCTACTCAGGCAGCTGAGTTATATGGACCATATGGTTTGAAGCCAGCCTGGGCAAGAAAGCCTGTGAGACTCTTACCTCCAATTAGTTATCAACAAGGCTAGAAATGAAGTTGTAGTTCAAGTGGCAGAGCACTAGCCTTGAACAACAACAACAAAACCTTTGCCAGGGCTGGGAATGTAGCTTAGTGGTAGAGTGTTTGTCTAGCATGCATGAAGCTCTGGGTTTGATTCTTCAGTACTACATAAACAGAAAAAGCCAGAAGTAGTACTGTAGCTCAAGTGGTAGAGCACTAACCTTGAGCTGAAGAGTTGAGGGACAGCGCTCAGTCTCAGAGTTCAAGCCCCATGACTGACACAAAAATAAAACAACAGGGGCTGGGAAGGTGGCTCAGTGGTAGAGCACTTGCCTTGCATGCATGAGGCCCTGGGTTTGATTCCTTAGCACCACATAAGCAAAAACAAAAAAGCCAGAAGTGGTGCTGTGGCTCAAGTGGTAAAGCGCTCGCCTTGAGCTGAGGAGCTGAGGGACGGTGTTCAGCCCCATGACTGACAAGAAAAAAAAAATTTAAAGCAAAAGGTAGGGGATACTGCTCAGTGGTAGACTCCGGAGCACGTGCCTGGCCTAAAAAAGACCCTAAATTCAATCCCTAACACGACAAAGAAAAAATAAAGTGATTGGGTAACAGAAGTAGGGGATCAAGCCATGGTGCCGGCCTCCAGAATGTGCACCTAAGCCTGAGGCCTCCCATTCCAGAGCACCCTGTCCCCTGCCCGCCTCACTGGGTGGCCCTCTACCCCTCCACGTCCCCGTCTCCACACCCATACCCTGGCACGTTCTGCCCTAGTGATGTCACTCCAACTTCTGGACTTCCCACCACCCTAGATTGGCCTAATGAGGAAACTCTGGTATTGTGACAGACAGGCAAGGGACGCTGGGAGGACAGAGGGTCTTGGTCTCTGACAGAGAGAGAGCAAGCCCATCCCAGGTACCTGCCTTCAGGAAACCCTAGAGGCAGTCAGAACTTGAACCCAGACCCATCGGACTTCCAAACGGACCTGGCGGGGCGCAGGGAAGTGGTGGCTCCCTGGGTGGCCCTCCTTGTGTCTTCCACTTGGTCTAGCTGCCACTTTACCCTCAGAAACTTCTGCTGGAAGCCTGGGTGGCAGGAAGGAGGATAAGCAGGAAAAGGCCAACACCCCTCCTTCCTCCTCTGTCTCTCAGTTCCCTTTCTCCTGCACCCCCCTCTCTCTCTCACCCACAGCCACACTTCCTCCCTGAAGAACGATTCCTCCCACAGGGCAGCCCTGGCCTCCTTCCACTGTACAATCCCCCCATCCTTGCCCTGCCAGCCCCACCCAGCAATAAGGAGCCTCTGAGCCCCTGCTGTGAACCATCCCTGCTTGACCCAGGGAGGCTGGAGGTAAGCAGGGGCAGGGAAGGCTTCCTGGAGGAAGAGTCATTTAAGCTAACGCAACCATCAGATCAGTACTGCCCACTGGCCAGCAGCGGACCGAGGTGGGCTGGCGGACCGTGGGAGGAGCCGAGGCGGGCGGTGTAGGGAGGAGAGGGAGGACGCAGCCAGGGGAGGACGGCCTCCGCCCGGAAGCGCTCAAGATCCCGGGTTCGATCCCCACCACTGCCAACAAAGCCCACCGAGCTTCCACCCGGGCTGAGCTCTGTCCCGCCTGCCTTCCCCGCAGAACTCACTGACCCGGACACCACTCAGGGGCCCCTCGGCCATGTGGGGCGCGGAGAAGCTGACCGTGGCCTCCGTGTCCCAGGCTAGGGGAGCCGAGCACACTTACTTACCCTCGAAGTAGACTCCGGAGCAGACCCGCAGCACGCGTGGGAGCGACGCAGGATCCAGGTCCCGCACGAAGTCCTGCAGCGCCACCGGCTCCCGGGTGCCCATAGTGGCCGCCGCCGGGTGTGCGCAGAACGAATGACCGGCTCGCGTTTGGCCAGCCCGAGCCCCCGGTCCGGGCAGAGGCAGCCCGAGGCCACGCCCACCGAGGCCGCGCCCCGAGCCACGCCCACAGGGCCCCGCAGCAGCACGGGCGAGCAGCTGCGGCCACGCCCCCCCAGACCACACCTGGTCGAGGCCACGCCCCTTCTCTTTAGTAATAGCCTTTAGACAACTCTAGTTAAGAATTCTATCCCGCCTAAAGAGACAGACCACCATGTCAGACCCCGCAGGATGGCCTAAGGCTTCTCCATTGCTCCAGTACAGGTTGGCTTGTTACATGACCTTAGCAATCACTTTGGTTTTCTTTCTTTTCTGTTCTGTTCTGTTCTTTTCTTTTTTGGTTGGTCTTGGGATGGGACCTGGGCGGGAGCTGTCCCTGAGCTTTTTCCCTCAAGGCTAGCTCTCTGCCACTTTGAGCCACAGTGCCACTGTTGTCTGGTGGTAAATTGGAAATAAGAGTTTCAAGGACTTTCCTGCTCTGGCTGGCTTTGAACAGTGATCCTCAGATCTCAGCCTCCTGAGTAGCTAGGAAGACAGGCATGAGCCACAGGCACTCAGCTCTCTTTGGTTTTCTGAGCCTTGTTGCCCTTGTGAGGAAAACAGAATCTTTCCCTGAGCTGGTGGCTCTCTTCTGTAATACTAGCTGTTCAAGAGAAAGAAACTGCCAGGTACCAATGGTGCCCAGCACCTGCATTCAAGACCCAGTACACACACACACACACACACACACACACACACAGCTGTCTAGTGGCACCAGTGTCTCATGCTTGTCAACCTAGCTACTTAGGAGGCTGCGATCTCATGGTGTGGTTCAAAGCCAGCCTGTGTAGGAAAGTCAGTGAGACTCTTATCTCCAATTAACCACCAACAAGCCAGAAGTGGAGCTGTGGCTCAAGTGGTAGAATGCTAGCCTTGAGCAAAAAAGCTCACAGACAATGCCCAGGCCTTGAATTCAAACACCAAGGACTGGCATAAACAAAGAAACAAACAAAAAACTCAGCTACATACACCAGCTACATTTTTAACGTCTCTATCTGAGTACAATGGAGTGACAGCCAGAGACCAGGCAGGTACCAGACCTTCTGTCTTCCCAGTCTCTGGAAACCTGTGTTCAGCCTCTAGATTCAGAGTAGTTTCAATCCTGACTTTACAACAGGGAGTTCGTAGGAAGCTTACTGTCTCTGAGCCTCAGGATTTTTGTTGTTGTTATTGCCAGTCCTGGGCTTGAACTCAGGGTCTGGGCACTGTCGCTGAGCTTCTTTTGCTCAAGGCTAGCACCCTACCACTTGAACCACAATGCCACTTCTGACCTTTTCTGTGGTACTGAGGAATCAAACCCAGGGCTTCATGCCTGCTAGGCAAGCACTCTACCATGAAGCCACCTTCCCCGCCCCTCAGTTTTTACATCTGTAAAATGGACATAAAACCAGAATCCACTTGGGGCCGTGGAAAGTTAGACATAGTATAAATGATTGCATGGGAGGTAGGTGAGTCTTCGGTGAGTAGGTAAACACCCCTAGCTAGTCTTCACTACAGTGAGGAAGGGACTATCTGGGTGGGGTGTAGACTCAGACTTTTAGAGCCTGTGGTGTCAGCTTTCTGTACAGCTCATCTCCCAGAGTTGCTTCCAAGGCTGTCCTTGCTTCGAATCCTACTTTCTCTTTTGCAGTACGGGCTTGAACTCCGGGACTCGTGCTTGCTGGGCACGTGTGCTGCTGCTTGAGCCCCACCCTCAGCAACACTCTCAACTCAAGGGGTTTTGTTGGAGTGCTGTGATTACAGGCGTGACCCCACAGCTGGCTTCCACCCACGGGATTTGGAATGTAGTTGATGTCACCCACAGAGCCACAGCAGCCTCATCAGGCAGCGCGCTCACTGGGATGAGATTCTAGTACATGGAACCCGTCCACTCCTGCCGCACTCTGGCACAAATCCCTCTAAGTGGAACAGCTTTTGCCTCCTTTTGCTCCTGTGCCAGGAGCCATAGCACCAGCGCATGCAGAATGGTGACCAGGCTTCACCCATGCTCATTCCAACACCAATGCCATAAGGCCTGGTCTCCCTTGACAAGGCCCTACTCAATCTCCTGCTGAAGGGCAGTAAGAACCCCCGGACCAACTATCCTCCAAAGAAGAAAGAGAGAGAGAGAGACAGAGAGAGAGAGAAGCAAAAGAAGGTATTTCTCTGCAGCCCAGGCTGGCCTCCAACTGGCGATCCTCCTGCCTCAGCCTTCCCACTGTTGCAGTGCAGCTCCATTCTTCGTTTATATCAATATTATCTAGGTACTAGTGGTTTCTCCTCTTGGTGATTGGCAGACTGTGTGGTGGGTCAGTACCAAGGGCCTCAAGACATATACCCTGCAGATGCGGGATTGGCAGAGCCAGCCAGAGCTGGCCCAGGCAGGGGACAGACCTTTTCCCAGGGCTGAGGGAGGGGTAGGGCCCTAACCCAAGTGAAATCAGAGACTTTGGGCCTAGAAAAGTTGGTAAAAGGGCAGAGCTTTTAAAATATTTTCTTCCCTTTTTGCTCATGAAACCAAGGGCCTCACACATGGGAGGCCAGTTCCTTTCATGGAAGCTAAGGGCTCAGCCGCTGCAGAGGGCTTTTGCCAGCCGTGAACTTCCTGCCGAAGACTGGGTGGCAGTCACAAGCCTTCTTGCCATGGTAGATGTGTCAGGAAGGCATGTGTCACGCGGCTCGCCAGGCAGCGGAGGAGGAAGGAGGTCTGCTGCTGGGAAATGTGTGGTCTTTGTCACCTAATACCACAAAAGTAATTTCTGAGTTTTAGAGAAGCAGCTGGCGTTGATGCTTCAGTCGCAGAGGTTTAAAAAAAATGCTTTTTTTTAATTTTTAAAAATTGTTATGATTGGCCGGGCACTGGTGGCTCACATGTGTAATCCTAGCTATTCAGGAGGCTGAGAGCTAAGAATCACGGTTCAACGCCAGCCTGGGCAGGCAAATCTGTGAAACCGCTCTCCTACCACCAATTAAGCACCAAAAACCCAAAAGTGGAGCTGTGGCTCCAAGTGGTAGAGTGCTAATGTTGATCAAAAGAGTTCAGGGACAGCACCTAGGCCCTGAGTTTAAGCTCTACAACTGACCCCACCCAAAAAAAAAAGTCATTACGAAGATGTTGTTTAGATGAGTTACTGTTTCTTTTCTTTTTTTTTGGTAGGGCCTGGGGCTTGAACTCTGGGCCTGAGCGCTGTCTCTCAGCTCTTCAGCTCAAGACTAGCACTCTATCACTTGAGTCACCATACCACTTCCAGCTTTTCCTGCATATATGGTGCTAAGGAATCGAACCCAGGGCTTCATGCCTGCAAGGCAAGCACTCTACCACTGAGCCACCTTCCCAGCCCAAGTTACTGTTTCTTAAGTCAGGTAATGAGTATGACTCTTTTGTCATTTTCCCCAGTTTCTCCTTCCCATCCCTGCCACAACCTGGAGAGTTAATTTTCCACATAATGTCTATTGAGGACCATGCAGTTGTTCATCCTTCTTCCCTACATATCTGCGACTCCCCTTTGACCCGTCAAAAGATAAAAGAACAAACAAGGCAAAAAAATCAACAAAAGGACAAAATGCAAAAACAACAATACCATCTCCACCAACAGCAGCAGCAACAACAAAAATCCCTATGCTTCCATTTGCTGGAATTTGTTTCAATACATAGTATTTTCTGTGATCAGAGGCATTACACCCTTGTGTTCCCCTCCTAAGAGTGTCCTCCTGCTGGGCTATAATTCTAGCTACTCAGGAGGCTGAGATCTGAGGATCATGGTTCAAAGCCAGCCCAGGCACGAAAGTACATGAGATTCTTATCTCCAATTTATCATTAGAAAACCAGAAGTGGTGCTGTGGCTCAAAGTAGAGTACTAGCTTGAGCAAAAAAAGCTCAGGGACAGAGCCCAGGCCCTGAGTTCAAGCCCCATAACCAACAAAAAAGAAAAGAAAAGAAGCTGGGCGCTGGTGGCTCACACCTGTAATCTCAGCTATTCAGGAGTCTGAGATCTGAGGATCCCGGTTCAAAGCCAGCCTGAGCAGGAAAAGTCTGTGAGATTCTTATCTCCAATAAACCACTCAGAAAACCAGAAGTGGTGCTGTGGCTCAAGTGGTAAAGCACTAGCCTTGGGCTGAATAGCTGAGGGACAGTGCCCAGGCCCAGAGATCAAGCCCCATGACTGAACAAAAAAAAAAGAAAACAAGTAAAGAAAAAGAAAGTATCATCTTTGGCCTCACTGTGTGTGTGAATGCCTAGAGTCTGTGATTTCTCATGACTCATACATTTTCGATCTTACTTCCACAAATGAGAGTAAACATGCACCATTTGTCTCCCTGAGCTTGGCTTATCTCACTTAGCTTTTGTTCTAGGTTCATCTATTTCCCTGCAAATGACAGAATCTTATTCTCTCTAATGAATGTGTAAAATTCCATTATGTATGTATGTTACATTTTATTTATCCACTCATCTATTGTAGGGTATCTGTACTGTTCCATAACTTGGTATTGTATAGAGCAGCAATGAACACAGATGTGCTCGTGACTTTACAGTATCCTGACTTGTGTTGTTCTGAGCAGATGCCCAGGAATGGTAAGACTAGATCATAGGGAAAGTTTTTGAGGAACTTCCAGACAGCTCTTCAGAGTGGTTATACTAATTTACATTCCCACCGACGGTGCTGCAGGGTTCCTTCCTTTTTCCCCATATCCTTGCCAATGTTTGTTGTTCAAAATCACAATTTGGATTAATCTACTGGGGTGAGATGGAATCTTAGAGTTGTTTTGATTTGCATTTCCTTTATGGCCAGGGATGAGCAGCTTTTCCTCACGTGTTTCTTTGTCATTCTTTTTTTTTTTTTAATTTTTATTTTTTGGGTCCAGTCCTGGGGCCTGAACTCTGGGCCTGGGTGCTGTCCCTCAGCTCTTCAGCTCAAGGCTAGCGCTCTACCACCTGAGCCACAGCACCACTTACGGCTTTTTTCTTTTTGTTTATGTGGTGC